CCCAAGGTTCCCTAAAAGAAAATCCTTGTGGAACGTCCAGGGTTGGAAGAGTCATTTCTTATACTATGACTTCTGAACTCAGAACATCATTGCTTTATTTCCTGCCCCACTCCCAGCTTCATACAGCACTCTCGTGCCCCCAATCTCAGTAAGTCAGACTTATGGGCAGCAAACATCCATTAGGCTCTGCTGAGTTAGGAAACCATGTCCTAGTTGGCACTTGTGTTGTCAAGTTCATGTTCTAACTGATGGATTAGGGGAGTTGAAAGAAACTGTGTTGATTTTGGTTACTTAATGAGTTGTTTTTATGTGTGCGTGCTGTGGTTTCAAAAGCCGATGAAAAGAGAAATGACACTTTTTTCCCATGAAAAATCCAAAATTAGGGCAGTTAAAATATTGTTAAGAACAAAAGGCACAAGATTCCACTAATCAACCATGGATATACATTACTTATCTTTTTTTCCTGTATATTTAATGCGAAGATAGGAAACTTCTTAGTGTACGAAATTAAACATTAATGAAAGTGGCTGTTTTATAAAAAAAACACTGTAGATTTAACATAACAACTAGAGATAAACTAAATGCCAGTAAACATTTTGGAAATATCCACCAGGGTATAAAGGGTATTTGAACACGATAGTTCTTTCTGCATTAAAAAAAAAAAATCTCCTCTGGAGATTCAACAAATTTCTATTTTCATGATTATGTCTGAATCTTATGAAAAAAACCCAATGGAGTCTTTGGATTTTTTTTTTTTACCATAGGCTTAACTTTTTCTTCTAAAATGACTCTCCTCATTAAAGAGAAAAGACACAGCTGTTTTCAAACTCATTGTTTCCTCATATTTCCTTCAGAATCCGTCCTAACCCCTGGCAGAAAGATGGTTTCCATGTGAGACTATGTGAACGAGGAACACTTCCTAATCTCCTGTAAGACCACATTTGTAAAACTACTCTTCAAATCACCCGTTGCAAAAGTTTTAAAATTGGGAATGATTAAGGCTGGGGCAAAGATTATCGTAATGAAATTTAATATAATAACAGCTTAGCAAACTTTAAAGGACGTTGTTTTAGGAGGATGTGCATTTTATAGCAATTATACGCAAGAAATGAATATTACACAGATGAGGCTGTGTATATTATCTTGCAAGGAAAAAAAAGGAAAAAAATAGGTTTGAATAAACGATTCAAAATTGTTTGAATCGTTTATTTCAAACAATACAGCTCTTCTCTGTGAAAAACTTTGTGCTCTTGGCCTATTACACTTTTCAATCAAGTAGGGATTTAAAAAGTGACCTTGCGGGCTTCCCTGGTGGTGCAGTGGTTGGCAGTCCGCCTGCCGATGCAGGGGATGCGGGTTCGTGCCCCGGTCCGGGAAGATCCCGTGAGCCATGGCCGCTGAGCCTGCGCGTCTGGAGCCTGTGCTCCGCAACGGGAGAGGCCTCGGCAGTGAGAGGCCCGCAAAAAAGTGACCTTGCAAGGAAGAAGTCTGGAACAAACTTGGTAACATGGAATCGAACCTCAGAGGTGTGTTCTGCTGCAGTAACAGAGAGTAAGAACATCCTTGTCATAAGCAAATACCCTTCAAGTTACAAATATTTCACAGTGAAAGGACTCTTTTCCCCTACTACAGTTTAGCCTCTTCTCTGCTTTGCAGTCCCTCTAGGACAATGGATGAAATGTCTTTGTGAAACAGAGCTAGAAACAGTGATCCTTTGCTGCCCAGCAATGAGGAATAATATTTTTAAAAAAGCTTTCTAGCCCCAGGTAACAAATTCTCTAGAAAATTCCTGCATGAAAAATACAGTCAAATTAAAGTCCAAAGTCTGTAGATGAAATCAGTGTGGAAAGGTTCCGGCCACAGTCAAGGTTGAGGGTAATTAAGCAGAAGGGGTGGGCGTGGGAGGGAAGACAGGGCCCCCTGGCATCCTGGAACCAGAGCAGGTGCAGAGCAGGTCAGGAGTAGCACAGGACTGAGGCCCAAGGGAGAAGACAAAGGACTTCTCTCCTCCTCCTGGGTCCCTTTCACTCCAGTTTTTATTTTCTAAATGAAATGACAGCTCACCTGAAAGTCTTTCAGGTTGGACTCTCTGGAAAGAAGTTTGCGTCTCCTTTGCCCTTCAATTCAATCTGTGTCCATCCTCAGTAAAAAAAAAAAAAAAAAAAAAGCAAAAAAAAAAAAATAAAACAAACAAATTTTGGGTCACTACATTTTCACTGGCCAACTTTATGTTTACACATTTCAGAAGAAAAACAAAGAATCTAGTGTTGGGGATTGTGAGTCCTATTTTCAAGTGTTCCCTTCTCTTCCTTGGATTTTTTCTAACAGAATTAAGTGCACCACAGGGAGGTCAGCTCGGTGCTTTGTGACCACCTAGAGGGGTGGGATAGGGAGGGTGGGAGGGAGATGCAAGAGGGAGGAGATGTGGGGATATATGTATATGTATAGCTGATTCACTTTGTTATACAGCAGAAACTAACACACCACTGTAAAGCAATTAGACTCCAATAAATCCATTTTTTTAAAAAAAAGAAGGGCTTCCCTGGTGGCGCAGTGGTTGAGAGTCCGCCTGCCGATGCAGGGGACGTGGGTTCGTGCCCTGGTCCGGGAGGATCCCGCATGCCGCGCAGCGGCTGGGTCCGTGAGCCATGGCCGCTGGGCCTGCGCCTCCAGAGCCTGTGCTCCGCAACGGGAGAGGCCACAGCAGTGAGAGGCCCGCGTGCCACAAAAAAAAAAAAAAAGAATTCAGTGCACTAGGGATGCACATATGATCCCAAACGTCGGGGTTACAAAGGAACTGGTCCGAAGAGGCAGCTTAGCAGCAGTATGTGTGGGAGAGACCTAGTGGGTTGAGTTTCCTTGAAACTGCATGAGAGGCAGCTGTAAGGCTTGAGCCAAAAGTTATTTCCATCTCTAAGTGAACTACCAGAAGTACCATCCTGTCTCCCTGGGGCTGGTCCTCCTTCCTGTGTTGTACTGGAGTCTTGTTTTGGGTACCCCACTTGGGCAGGGAGTTTGATAACCTTATTTATCCAGAGACCATAAGTGCTCAGTCAGTGTTTGAAATGCTTAAAACCTGGTCATGAGAAGAACAGTTGAGTGAACTGGGGATGTTAGTGGGAGGACATGATTACTGTTTTCAAATCTCTTTAGCGATGTCATCTGGCAGAGAGATGAAAGATGTGTGTTTTCACTTCAGAGAACAGAATGAGGGCCAAACAGTGTAGAAAAACTACAGGACAACAGAGTTGAGTTCACCCAGGGTAGTCAGGTAGTAAGTTTCTTGTCACTGAAGTATTCAAGCAAAAGCTGGAAAGCTACTTAACGGAAATGTGGTTTGGTGCAGGTGGGTTGGAGTCAATGAACCACAAGACCCCTTCCAACTTTTTTTTTTTAACATTTATTTTATTTATTATTATTTCTTTTTGGCTGCGTTGGGTGTTTGTTGCTGTGCGCGGCTTTCTCTAGTTGCGGCGAGCGGGGGCTACTCTTTGTTGCACGGTGCGCGGGCTTCTCATTGCGGTGGCTTCTCTTGTTGCAGAGCTCGGGCTCTAGGCGCATGGGCTTCAGTAGTTGTGGCTCACAGGCTCTAGAGCACAGGCTCAGTAGTTGTGGTGCACGGGCTTAGTTGCTCCGCAGCATGTGGGATCTTCCCCCACCAGGGCTTGAACCTGTGTCCCCTGCATTGGCAGGCGGATTCTTAACCACTGTACCACCAGGGAAGCCCGTCCTCCCAACTCTTGACAGCTGTTTTCAGGTCCTGAATAACACGCAGATCTAAGTTGGAAAACCATCCTTAGAAAATAAACTTTTGGAAAGAACGTTGTATTTAGAAATATTCCCTCCGATATTCTTCAGAGGACCAAACTTCCCAGAAGGAAGAAGAATGCAGTGGAACTCTCCCTGTCTGGGGCAGGAATGCACACAGTATCAGATGACACCCTGTAAGGAGGCTATGTCATCTGAAGAATTACCCAGAAAGTGTGCTCCAACAGCTCAAGGACTGGAGCTTGAGCTAATACAAGACGTATGAGTGTCATTTAAGATGCTGGCTGCAGGCTCAGCATTTCCAGGTGTTGGTTGCCCAGTAAAATCATCCGTGCACATCCTGAGACACTTGAACCCAGGAGAAAGCAGCCGTCTGAACACATCCCCTGAGGGGCAGAGATGGAAACAAACCTGCATAGAACAAGTTCCTCTATTTTGACTGCTTCAGGGGGCTGGGGCTCATCTGACCTGGGGCTTTCTTGGTCAAGATGCAACTTATCTTAAGAAATGTAGCACAATTTCAGGTAATCACCTCTCTTCATCTGTGCTTTCCCTTCTGTGACACTAACATCACTGTCGCCTGACACAAGATGGTGCCCATGATTCCTGGGTGAATAGATGTAACCATGGAACAACTATACATTTTGGCTAATGTGGACAAAAGACACCAATTTAGATATAAATGGGTCATTGGCTTCATGTAAAGTCTACCTGTGCAGACAGGTGGAATGCACTATTTAAATGCTTGGCGAGTCATTTCTGAATGAAGCCTCACTAAAAATAGAAATTTTAATGTTGTTTAGTTACTGGAGCCCAACTGAAGTAGCTCTCTTAAAATCAGTGTTTGTTTGGAGCCATCAAAAGTCCTTATTACTGACAAACAAAGGCACCAGAATAAGGGTATCAGGTAAATACAACTGCCAGGGAGAAATGAAAGTTCTAGATAGTTCAAACTCTAAATCTCTGACTCACTGCTGTGAGAGGGTGGAGAGAAAGAGACAATAACTTTTCAAGCTGGGTATAAATGTAAAAAAACAACTGTACTTTTTGAAAATATAAAATCCCAAATGGCTAACACTTATTAGATAAGTGAGTTTGTTGATTGTTCATATGGAATCTGAAAATATCTCATGGTTTCTGACAAAGTTAAACGTGCTTGTTCCTGTAGTTTTGGACTCCCTTTCTAAACTTCTGGATTTTACTTCCATTTCAAAGGAACAATTGAGGCATTGGTTTAATACAATATTTATTAAAGTGTTTTTATTAACAAACTTTCGCCAGAAAGTTCCGAGTGTGTTAATACAGCAGGCACGTTGGCTTCAATGTTTGGTATTTGACAGTCCACAGAACTGCACTTAACTCTCACAATCCTGCCACGATTTTGTGGATTGTTTGGGCAGGACCTATAACCAGCCTCCCCCATTAAATGGTTAAAGATGAATTGGGGTTCATTCTGACTCAAGTGTTCTGAGTTTACGATGACATCAGTCTGTGACAGGCCTGGCTCCACTTGCCTTTCTGCCTTGTCGGTCGGACTCACTGAACTGGAGTCCTTGTTTGCGGCCCCTCCACTGCCCTCCACGTTCCCGATGTCTCTGTTTTTACAGAGTCCCCTTTGGTGCGTCTCAGGAGCACAGCACGCTTTGTGTGAAGCTCCAGCGCTTCTGCAGACCAATGACGACATCTCTGCCATCTTTGGAAGCTGCTCTTCTAGGCTCTGAAGACTGTGTACGCTGGTCTTACCGAGTTTTTCTTGGGCCTGAATGTGCTGACCCGGGTGGTGGAAAAAACTCCTGGGCAGAGAATTCTGCATTCCAGGAGGTTTCACTCTGCCCTGTAGGCAGGGACAGTGGTGGATGTGTGGGATGGGATGCACGAAGCCCTCGGGGGCTTGGTGTGCAGCCTTCAGAGGGGCCAGGCCGTTCTGGACGTGCATGAAGCTGCTGGCAGTCGGAGCGCACTGGTGGCACAAGCAGTCACCCATCTGCTGGCAAGACGGCAGGCCATATTTCAAAGGTTGGTAGGCATTTGGGCAGCTACATCTCTGATTCAGAGAGAAGAAGTGACACATGGTGTGCTGTTCAAGACAGGGCTGCAACAAGGCAGAGCTGGCTTCATTTTTGGTGCTTTGGTTGAGTTCGCTGTTGTAAGCTGTGTGTACAGGCATCCCTAACTTCTTTGCCTGGCTGCTGAAAAATTCAGAGCAGATGTGGGTCTCTTCATAAGTGGTCTTCTCGGAGGCCATACAGCTGTGGGCTGCCAGAGGTTCTAATTCGTAAAACTCATGCTCCATTTCAGCTTTTTGGCCCCTGGGATCTAAGTGATAAGCATTCACAGTGTGTGTCTTGCTTTGTCCCTTGTCACCAGGACTTGTGGACAAGGTGTGGGAGAAGGCACTGCACTGGAGTTTTTTGGGTAAAGGAATCTGACCACAGGTGCCCTGCGGCCCAAGGCACCGGCACATGCACTGAAAAAAGAAGGTGGCAAAAGCCCAGCTGATACACATGATGAGCATCATGAAGGTGCCCAGCTGGGTGTAAGCCAGGACCGTGGAGGGCATCATCATGGCCCCAGCCACGAAGGTGGTGAGCGCGGCCATGGCGATGGCAGAGCCCATGCGGCTCAGAGAGAAGATCACCTTCCCTTCTCGGTCGGCGTCCGGGGCCAAGCGGTAAGCAACCCCATAATGGACGGCAAAGTCTACAGACAGGCCGACCGCAACCGAAATAGTGACCGACTCCAAAACGTTTAGCTCCCAGCCCAGCAGGACGAGAGAACCCACGGTGACAAATATAGTTCCGGCGATCGAAATGATGGCATAAAGGCTTATGATGATGTTCCAAGTTGTAAGCAGCATCACGCTAAAGGCCACGGCCACCGAGAGCCCCATGGCGATGAGGGTGCCGTCGGAGAGGCTGTCCTGGAGGTCATAGAACTCCAGATTGCTGACAAACCAGCCGTGGCTGAGGCCCTCGGGTGCAGAACTCAGCTCGTTGGAAATCCACGAGTCCACCTCTTTATAAAACTGATGCATCTTTTCATAAGCCAGTGTGAAGAGGTAGGTGCTTTGGAACTCTAGCACGACTGCCCTGATGGTATCATTGATATCAAACCTCGGCCCCGGGGTTTTGCTATCCAAATGGTAGCCCGTACTCCTCTCTAGCTCCATGATGGCTCTCTTAATGCACAGTTCGAAAATCTCTTGCTTATAGGGGAAGCTCCAGTGGCTGCAGCACGGGTACAGGGTAGGCTCATCGCAGTCCTGGTTTTCCATCCACTGCTTGAAGGTCTCGATGAAGCAGCTGGTGAAGTCCTGTTCGTCGGTCTGGTGAAAGAATGTCTGATTTCTCAGTTTTTGACAGAACTGCAAAATCCAGACCTGGGAAGCTGGGCTGGCGATGTTAAAGCCGCTGTCTAAGGTCAGCTTCCCTTTGCTCTTAGGGTTTAGGGGGTTGCCATTGTCTTCTGGGGACACACCCCAGATGACCGTGATGGGCATGTGGAGCTCCTCTCCGTGGTGGACGCGCTCGAACATGAAAAGCTTTTTGTACTCGGCGTCGTAACGTTCAAAAGGGTGGGACGACCTGAACACCTGGAACTCGGACAGCTCCAAAGAGGGCAGCTTCATCTTTGGGTTTATGCAGACGATGTAGGCCCCGCCCACAGTTAAGGCCAGGAACCAGACCAGCCACAGGTAGCGAAACTTAATGACGATGCACGGCAATACTTTTTCAAAAAAAATTCGAGACGCTTCCGAAATGGCAAAAAGGACTTTGTGGCACTTCTGACAGGCCACCGTCCAGCAGCTTTTGTTATCGTATATTTGTTGCTGGGGCTTCTTGAAGCAGCTGAAGATATTGAGAAGATACCGCTCGTGCAGGACAACCACGGCCGGAAGCCAGGTGACCATCAGAACGTAATTCACCAGTATAGCTGTCCCCGCGTATACCCCAAAGCATCTGATGGCTGTGATATTGCTCACATAGTTAGCGTAAAAGGCAGCCGCTGTGGTAAAACTGGTGACGAACATGGAGAGGGCGGCGTGTTGCAGCGTGATGCTCACTGTCTCTGAGGTTTCCGCGTGAGGCTTGTCAAATTTGGTGTAGTTCCAGACATCACACAGGACAAAAGCATCATCCGCTCCAATGCCCACCAAAATAATGAGCGCGGTGAGGTTCATAAAAGGGAAAAATTCAAAGTTAAACACCACGCGGTAGAGAAAATAGGACACAATCAAGGAACTGATGATGGCAAACATGGTCATCAGAGTGATAAACATGGACTTGGTGTAGACACACATGACCGAAAGGACGATCACGATGGCGATGGCAGGATACACAGTATCCATCAGAAGATAATCCTGAAACAAACTGTGTTTGATCCCAAACTCAATCCCGGTGACGGTGGTGACGCCGTCAGAAGCGTTCCAGTTTTCGAAGTTGTCCAAGTAAATGTTCATCATGCTCTCCCCTTTCTCTGTGGGCGAGAAGAGCATGCTGTACTTCAAAGCGGGTGTGTAGTCGGCTGTCTTTGGGGCCATAAAGTCTTTATCCACCAAGTAGTGGAGGATCTGGTACACAGCGTTGTACTTGGTACATTTCCGTGGCACGTTGGTGCACTTGAGCTGGTCCTTCCTCCGGGCCGCCATGTCCCAGCAGTCTGGCTCCAGGGTGCCGTTCTGGTAGTGTTTGGCGCAGGTCCGAAGTAGCTTCAAGGTATGAGAAACGTCTCGCTCGACGATTTTCTGGCAGGACGATCTGTTGTTCAGAATAGCGATGTAGTTCCCCAGCGTCCAGCTGGGGCAGCAGGAAGCAGCCGTTGTCCTCTGGCAGAGATCACCAAACCGCGGATGAGATCTGATCTGCAGAGACAGAGACACGCGGAAGAACTGACGTTTAAAATCAGTTCACATAAAGGTCTGAATGACGGTGGCCTTGAGGGACAGGAAAGTTACAGAAGTTATAGAATCATCCTCTGAATTAGGTACCAGTTTGAACACAAGGTGAGTTTTCCCCCCGAATCTGTTCTCTTCTGCTGCAGAAGGCTCACTAGGTTACTTCATTTTGAACAACGAACTCCTTTTTGGGGATGACATACAAGTGTGAAACAATTTCAATCAATGCCAGTTTGGTTTCAAAAAGGAGGTAAAATTAACACCTCTTTAGTAAACAAGCCTTTTCAAAGTCACTTTAAAAAGCAATAAAGTGGATAGGCTGTGAAGCTTATGTACGTATACCTATGGGATTAATTAAGAGAACAATTGCCCGATTGATATATAAAACGAATTTGTGGCTTTGCCTAAAATCTCTGGTAATCAGCGTGAAATTTTTGGTGACAAAGGTACTATATTTCAATCAACTTGGAGGCAAAGATGATAGTCTCTAGATAACTGTCAGACTCAAAAAAGTGATTCTGGTAATATCAGAAGCAGTGATGCCAAAGACGCATGAAAAACCTGGAATAAAATTGTTTCCTGATACATGAGTAGAGGGGGAAAATGTTTCTAAATTAAAATTATATGTGTGTATATATATATATATATATATATATATATATATACATATACATATATACGATTTTAAATAAACATACACAAGTAATAAAATACTTCAATAGGAATTTAATTATTTCTTCCACATCTTTCAAAGTTTATTCAAGTTGGCTAACTCCCCCTTTTGGGGAATGTTCTGTTTTGGTAAACAGGGGTCTGCTGCATATTAGTAAGTAGAACAATTCTGGATTTAACGTGGATAGTATTTCATTTAGAACACTATTCCTGGAGAAGGCTTTCCTTCTTATGGCTGTTCTTGTTATAGAAAATTGAAATTTGTTCCGATGTCAAAGCTGGCATTGCTAAGATGAGAGTGAAGCCTGCACAATCCCATCATCTTAAAAATCTGTAAGTTACAAATGGCCCCTCTTCCCTGAGGGTGAGAATAAGAAATACCCCCCTGCTCTTGAGCCTGTCCAGAGACTTCTCCGGAAGTGCCAGGGCTAAAGACGACCCACTCCTATCACTTTCCCTCATCTCTATTTACCAAAGGTTGTTCCAGGGAAGAAACTCCAAAGTTCAAGAAGGGCATGAGTATTCTTTTTTTTCTAATAAGATTAAAACCACCCTTTCCCTTTTATTAAAGTAGGCTTTATCAATCACGCGTTGAAATATTTTCTCAAAGTAGAAGAGAAGCTGGCACAATTCACCTCTTTAGAACTTAGACTTATCCAAGAACCAAGTTACTTGTAACTTGGCTATGAAGACACTTTACTGGGACTTATTCTGCAGGGGCAAGGTGCAGATGAAAGGAGATTGGCCACGTATTGTGAATTGCCGAAGTTGGGTGACCTGCACATAGGGATTCATTCTACTATTGCCTCTGTTTGAAAATTTCCATAATAAAAAGTTGGGTGTTTTTTTTTTTTTTTTAAGATACTCTATTGGGGGTAAAGAAAAATGAGTCAAAGGGTTATTATACAAGTGTACTAAAATAATGTTGATCTTAACAAAGGTTTAATTTTTAAGCTCATTTTTAAAGAGCGATAATTACTTGACATTTCATAAAATAGGATAATTAATATTTAATTGTTTGTAGGTTAAAATATTCACATGTGCTAACTCAGGGGAAACTGAACCACCTAATAAATAATAGGAAACCCTGGAATAGCATCTCTCAGATAACCAGGTTTACCCCACAAAGGAATAACAGGCAAGTCCCTGGGGTCAGCCTGGTGAACTGAAAGAAAGGTAACGCAACCCCAATGTCTGACAGTTTTCAGATGGAAGAAAATGAACTGTATCCATTACGAAACCCACTATCAGCTAGAAGGACCATATTTGTACTTGCTCAAATAACCAAAAGCCAAAGATAAAGGAAATAGGGTTGCCAGCTAAAACTGGAAATGAAAGCACAGAATTCTGTCCTTGAATAACCCTTTCAAAGAATTGCAGGGGTTTTTTATGTGTGTATCTGACCAAAGATTTAAAAGTTGGACATGACAAACACAGACCAAATACTACTTTGATGGCTGCTATCAAAAATAAATGCTAATGAGCCTCTGGAGGGCCAGTCCTCACATTCAAAGGTGATGGCTGATGTACAACCTTTGGAAAACAGTTTCTGAGGACTCTTTTAGAGGGTAAGAAATAAGGACAGAGAGAAGACATTTATCCTGAGTTGGATGCCAGTGCCCTGAATCTAAAGGAATGGAGCTCAAGGATTTTCTAGGCTTTCAGGGAGTATGTCCCCATCCATCCATCCATCCATCCATCCATCCAGAAGGAAAAATATTTATTGAGCACCTATCAAGACAAATAAGGCAAAGTGGTCCTGCCCTCAAGTGGCTCACAGTGAGGCAGGGAAATCAGACAAGAAAACAAACCGTTACAATTCAACATGAGAAGCAGCATATTATGTGTAAGGGTCTATGTGAACCTGTGGACAGAGTACCAAGGTCTGTAAGTGCGATGGGATAATGGCACAACTTAGTCATCTGGGACTGAGATAACTCAACACAGAGTCATATTTTATATTGTGGGGCTTGAGGAGCTTGGCAAGCAGGTGTATCTTTATGCAGAAGGCAGCTGCATCTTTGCCATATTCTTGGGAAAGGGGATTGACAGGAATGATTTTAAAATCTTTGAAGTTTATAAAAATAAGGATGGAGTTAACGAGAGCAATTTCTTGCAACTCTTATGAGGAATGCCCTTTTCATTCTAGGTATTCACAAACAGGAATTTTAGGGATCATCTTGCTTATGTGGTGATAACACATCTTTGCACACTTCCCTAGTTAGATAGTAGCAGGGGTGGAGTTGGCTTCAAATAAGAGTAAAGGAAGAGGAGAGAAAAAGAAGAAACCAGCAGGGTTTTAAATGATACCTTAACTTTCAAAACTAATGGCCAAGTTGGAGATATGTTAAGAAGCTAAGGGAAGAAAAAAGGGAAGAAAATTAAGCCCTTAATACCAGGTTCAATCAACTGCTAGACACTCCTTTCCCACGTGACCAAGTTCCTCACGTACTAAAAGTTGAAGGGAGCCTAGAGAGGAAGAAAGCAAGGGCTCCACAGCTCTCTTTAAAACAAGCATCAGGAAACACATTTCTGGGGTCCTGTAAGCGTGTGAGGGGGACATTCCAGCTGTCCACAAAAGCTACCCGAGTAAAATGAGTCTTAGTCACCAAATCCCTTCTACAAGCTGATTCCTCTGAACTCCAACATCTACACTATGCAAAGACTAAGAAATAGGGTAAAGGGCTTCCAGCAGAGTCAAGATTAGAGACACACACACTTCTTTGTTATTAATGACTCTCTGCCAGTGTGTCCCATAGGAATGTCAAAGTGCAGAAAAAAGTAGTGAAGGAGATCAGGGGAGTCAACTGAGGCTCCTTTTGAAAGAGTCTAAAAAAAAACCCAAGCATTTCTGTGAGGAGGTAGACGAGCATCAGAAACAGAAGCTCTTCACTCTGGAAACCAGCGCCCATCTGAACTACGAGTGTAAGTGGCATGTAATTTAAATGGGATCTGGAATTTGAACTCAACGTATTATCAACACAGGCAGGCGGCCACTGGAAGACCTGGTCTCGTGACATTACACTGATTACCAGATGCTTTCTGGAGTCAACCCACCAACAATTAAGCTCTTCTGCTCTGTACCATTTGGTGTGTGTCCCATTCAACTTGATAGTTGTTAATAACTAAGTGGTTAGGTACAATAGCTAGGATTTGAGGGGGAAAAAAGGGAAAGACTGCCAAGTAGCCTCAGGACACATTTTGCTCAAACCGCCATAACAAATAAAAATCCTCAAAGGGTCTTGAGCTGGGAGACTCAGAAAAGTACAGTAATAGTCTGAAATCTGAACTGTTGACCAATAGTTATTATTTAAGATATCACTGAATACATTATCTCTATGAGAAACATATGTTATTCTGGGTTCATAGCAGAGTTTGAGACTAGAATACAAGGGCATTTGCAACTGGCAAAAAAGTATTTCATTTAAAAAGTTAAAATTACAACCATGCTCCTTGAGGTTGTATTTGGGGGCCATGATTCTGTTTATTCATTTATTGGTGTAGATCTGCAATTGGCTTGACCATTCATTCAGATGTACGTGTCTTGGGTCTGTTCCTCAAATTTTCACAAGAGGATCACAAATTGTTACGTTCTTGCCAGGGATTACAGACTTGAACTCACAGCTATCCAATCCTTATTATGAGCCCAGTAGGAAAAAAAACTCAGACAAGCAGATATCGATTCTTTTCGACAGCCTAAATTTTGCAAATGCATCAAAACAGGTAACTAGTGGGAACCTGCTGTATAGCACAGGGAGCTCAGCTCGGTGCTCTGTGATGACCTAGATGGTGGGGGAGAGGGGGAGGGAGGTCCCAGAGGGAGGGGAATACATGTATACATATAGCTGATTCACTTCATTGTACAGCAGAAACTAACACAACATTGTAAAGCAATTTTACTCCAATAAAAAAAAAAATGGTGTCATTCCAAGGTCACAGGTCCATTGTGAGAGAAGTAAAGTACCCAGCATAAAGCCTTGCACATAGCAAGTGCTCTACATACACACTAATTTAGAGTTAACTTTCTATATGAGAAGGGTTGTAACCCACAACAAGAAGTATGTTCATAGCTTCTAAATAACCTACTGATAGCTGTAGAACAGAAGAAAATATGACAAATAAAAATTGACCACTGATGAAGAAACTTTGGGTTGTTTATAGATAGTTTGTGACTTTGGTCTATTTGGAGCTGCACAGAGACAAGATGTCACTCACAGAAAATTCCGATATCCTAATCAATGCAAAAGTTATTTTCAAAATATATAAAGAGCCTTTCAGAATGAAGAATAAAGTCAGGAGATCTGGGACCAACCAACTAGGTGACCTGGGTAAGCCACTCAGTTCTCAGAACGTACTTAGATCAGCACAATGAGATGCTGGTCTGTGGGTTATCTCAAAGAGTCCTTTCTACCTCCTGTTCCATTAAGAAACCCTGTTGATAGAACAGGTCATTGCACTGGATTGTCAGTCTAGCTCTCAGCAGGGCATGTGATTAGATTTTCAACTGACCAGTGATTTTACATTTTAGAATTATGCTAAGAACACGAGTTCCTTTTCTACCTGATTACTGTGCTTGGGCAAGGCCACTAGTGACATCAGACAGCAGTTTCTACTTGGAGAAACTACCTCTGAACACAAGAAACTGACAGCTCTTCCAAGCTCCGTAGGTGACTTTACACTTTCTGGTGCTGTCTTCTTGCATCTTTCTGTCTTGTAAAGCAGCAAGGTGTTTAGAGTTCAGAACAATCTGGATTGGATTACTTTGGCCATTTCCATAGATACTGTATTTATGCCCTTTGCTGTCCCCTTTCCTAGCCTGTGCCCTAAATTTTCCTTTGAGGTCATCGGCCCAAAGGACCCATTGATTGCCAGAAAGGTGAGCATTTCATTGCATAATTAAGATGCTGACAATCGCCTCAGGGGGAAAATGGAGTGAACAATGAAACTAGATTAGGAAGATAAAATACAACAAAAGAAGAAGAAAAAAAAGGCTTAACTATTATCCTGAAAGGAAATAAGCTGTGAAATAATACAAAAGACTATCATGGACAAAAACATGAGTGGGAAAGAAAAAGAGTTCTTTATTAAGGAAGATGGTTTGTTTTAAAGGTGGGGAAGCAGAGACACTTTGATCCTGGGATCCGAAAGAATGCGAAGCCACTCTGCTGGTGTTTACTCCTCGGTAGGTAAGCCACTTGAGTGCTTTCATCTGATCAGGCACCAGGGTCAGCAGTAAAAGGAGTTTCAAAAGTATAACCTTATTTGTGCTAAACATATTTCAGTTTTACTTTACATACCCTTGAATTATCTACATTGCACATTGATTTAATTGCAGGTAAATTCCACAATGTCTCCCCTCCAGCTGAAGTAAATACTACTCTGGAATATCGGTCACCTGGTGATAGGAGAAAAAAGAAAAAGGGTTATAAATTATTCATTTATTTCAGAAGACTCCGCGTTCAGAAAGAATTCAAACTGGGAAACCACCTGGGAATTCATTAGCAGTAGGGAATCCTGTCTTTCATTAAACTCCAGGAGAAAAATGTAAAAAAATTTTAAAGAGTAATGCTATAATATTGCTTTAGCTCAAAGCCTTTGTCTACTCACTATATCTTAAAAATCGTAGAAGTTATGTAACATATCTAGTTCTGATCAGACTGTAATTAGGAAGAGCAACCCATAGGAACTTTCAGCAGAAAATCAACTGAACGCCTCCCTCTTCATTTCACAACACATCACCCCAATGGTATATAAAATCAAAGAATGGTGCACCAGGGAGTATCAGGAATGGATTATAAGGATGTTCTCTTTGGCAGCTAACTAGAGAGCAAAGACGGCAAGTGATCAGCTTAAAAGCACTAAAAACAGCCAACTAAACACAGAACGCTGGCCAGGATCACAGACATACTCCTCATTCTGGTTGAGTGTTCAGAGTTCTAGAAAAAACATTTTGAAAATTATACTAATACAAAATATATTTCTGAATAAGGGAGGCTGTGTGATATCCTGGAAAGAGCATGGTCTTTAGAGTTAGAACTGGGTGTAACCAGGTTCTGTCATCTACTAGCTGGATGATCTTAGGCAACTAACAACTTTTCTGAGCCTCGGTTTGGTTCCTCATCTGTAAAATAAAGACAGCAACACTTTCCCAAATAGGTGTGAGAATTAAATGAGGTACTGAAAAACGGGTGCTCAGTAAGTACTGTTTCTGCTTCCTCAGCCATTAAAAAAATTAATATGAACCAACTGAAACAGAGTAGATTCATTTTATAGGATCTAAAATGCCTAATGGTGCTGACAAAGAAAATCAATTTGCAAATTTATGAATAAAGCTTTATTACATGAAAAACTTCAGGGTCACGAAGTTTTCTTTAGTAAACTCTTGTCTTCAAGACAAATAAAGACCCTGAGGTTTGACAAGATCTAGAAACATCAAAGACCCAATCAGGTCCTCTAGTGATCTAAGAAGATAGGGAAAAAACAAATTTTAGAAGGATTTTCAACAACAACAACAAAAAGGTGAAACCAGAAGAGCTTCAATGTTAATATTCACTTAATCAGAAACTGGAGTTATTGCAATTCCTCATCCGTAACCATGAGGGCTAATCAATGACTTTCAAACTGCCATGTGTTTCCTTGAGGCCGTGAACTCCTCCTTCCTGGCAGCTGCACAGAGACCAGGTTGACTCTAGGCTACAGCGAATTTTATTTTGTGAATTTGCTGCCAACATTTAGAGATCTGGTGATTCCACATTGAAATCTGGATTCCTGGCCTCCGGGAATTTCTTACAATCTTTGGGCCCTCGGTTTTTTTTTTTTTCAAGGTCACATTCTGCTGCATTCTCCTCAATCACCATCACTTCCTGCATTCTTAACCCAGCTCACTTTTCTCATTCATATATGACCTAGGTCCATGAGGCATTCAAGCTTTGGACCTCTGGACTTTATTTTGTTCATCTGGCTACCTGTAATGTCTAATGACAAGGCTGGCACAAGAAGGCTATTAATATAGGCTTTTTGAATGAATCAACAATGTAGATATAAATTTTTGATAATACTGTAGATTATGTCAGGGTTCAATCCAAAAAATGTACAAGGAATTTTTTAAATGTGTTGAGATTTGGGGCAAGGTCAAGAATTTTATTAGATTTATATCTTTCTTAAAACCGAATATAACTCAGTCATCTCTCATTAATTTTTAATTTTAGGTAACTAAATTCAGATTAGTGGTTGACTGACCTAGAGAAGTAAAATTACAAGTTAATTAGGCTAAAACCCCTTTAAGCACGATAGAAACAGTGAAGCTGTGTGACCAGCCACCTACTCTTGACAGTCTAGGTTATCAATCATGTTCAATCCCAGGAAACTCTGAAAGGTTTGTCATCTACGAAGCCACTCACTTGGAACGTCACAGAAAAAGCTGTCCTTGTGGAAGTTCCAGTCAACTTCTCTTTTCTCTCTTTCATAATGATCATCTGACCATCTATCATCCCGATGGCTGAAATGGAACACAGTTTGATCTTCAATCAAGTCCCCACTATTTCAAGGCTGAGAAGCCTACTGGTAACAATACAACCTCAAAGTCATGACCTATGAAGCGCTTGATATTGTCGGAAGGATGAACATAAGCAGCCAACATTAATTTTCTCACTTCTGAAAAAGGAAGAAAAACCCCAAACCCTCACTAATATACAACAAAATCTTAAAAGACAATGACAATTTCAACAAATTCAGTGCAAAGATTTTGAGCCACACATTTTAGATGTAATCTTTTTGCTCAGGCAATGTTTAAAACTGGAATTTGTTAGCAGTGGTTTGTCTAAAAGTTAATAAATGATTACCTTTTGGCTTGTTCATCTGCATATTTAAAGGGGTAATTTGCTAATGTTGCTTTGTATCCTGTATTTTTCACCATGTTATTCCATGTGACCAGTCTCTGGCCTATTGCAGTCCCTCTTGGTTCAAAACCCTAAGGCAAAATATTACAAATTCCATTAGTGTACTTCATTTCAGGCTAAGTATAGTTATAACAGCTTGGGAAGGCAATGTCAAGGTGATGTATAGCTTTCAACAGAAGATATACACGTTCCTCACAGCTACTCCAGAGGCGAACTGCGTTAAGACAAGATGACTTGACATAATAATGATCACCTATTTACTGTGACAAACAGTTTGATTCTTTGGTATGTTACATGTCTCAGGAAAGAGGAAAAAAAAACTTATCTGAAGCTTCTCTTCCAAATTCATACCTGGCATTTATTTTTATGTTATAAAAAAATCATGGTCAAATTAAATTGTGTTATGCATGCAACAGTGTTTTACAAAGAGTTTATCATTATCCTTGCTCATACTTTCCTCACTATTCCACTTCTGAGGGATATTTACTTAAAAACAGACCCTGCAATCTCTCAGTAATACTGAAATTCCTTTAACGTCTTTGGGAAAAAAGGTGACATTCAGTCTTCAAGACTTTTTGAAGACGTTTTTACAGTCTGCAGATTCTCCAATTTTTTGCTTTTTAGTTTAAACATGGAGACCAAGAAGCAAATTTCCAGATTTTTGATGGTGAGCAAGTTACCTGACCCCTTTTAAGAACCTGAGAATACAGACATGTCTCTACTTTTCAGAAAGAGAATTGTATACTTACTGATGGCTTGAGAAGGTTTTTAAAACAGATGGGACACTAAATAACATAATGCAACATGTCTTAAAATACTTAATCTTTTGAGACGATTGAGGGCTAAAGAAAATAAACAGATTCTACTAGTGCAATTCTCCTTACCAGCAATGGATCAGAGAAATCAGGAAGCTCTGGCACTAATACTCCAACCAAGGCACAGACCACGATGAACACAGTGCACATGCCCAAGACAACCACAGGCCAGTCTGCTATCAGGGCTGCATAACTACAAACGCAGAGAGAGATCACAAAGAAAGCCTCTTAGAAGCAGAGTAAAGTTTTTTTTGCTACCTAAGAGAGCAATTTGTTAAATCTTCCTATTTCAGACCCAACACAGGTATTTATCAGTAAAAGATCTCATGAGATTATAAGCATTTACGCATAATTGTAGTAGAAAATTGGAAGATCACTGTCCTCTCATTATTTGTGATAAAGTAGCAGTGGTCAGATGCTACAGGCTGTTGAGAGTAAGAATAATGTCCATTCCTGACAAATAACATTTCACTGCTACATCTGTGCCTGGGAAGAAGAAGCTCTTAAATCTACACTTTCTAAGTGGAAAGAAATATATTTTAACAGAGGCTCCATCCTCCTTGCAGTCTCTTTCAGAACTTTTGTTTCTCCAGTTATTCCTTTCTCCCTACTTTTACTCCATCAGTTCTTGAAAAAGAGCTCAGCCCATAAACAGGTTCAGGTAGTGTAAGTCATAAGAATAACCAAACCAAACTGAAACCTCCCCATAAACCTGTTAACCTTCCATTTAGCTAAAACTATAATGAACTTATCCACTAGATTGTGAGCTCCATGAGGGCAGAGACTGTTGATTGACTGACTGGTTGATTTAGTGTAGTATCAGTGCCTAGAACAGTGCCTTTTAAAAGGTGCTTGGTAACCATCTATTGATTAGATGAATGAACACCCATGTATGTACCTATCCTCCCTTCACTCTCTAACCACCACAGGCTGGCTTTAGTTTCTTACTACGCCTCAGAAACTCCTCTCTGTTACCAAATCCCACCATTAAGCCATTTCTTCCAACACCCTTCCCACACCCTCATTCACCACCTTCCACTGAAATATCTGTTTCTGGGCCCTTCCATAAGATCCTGGACCACGCCTTCCTAACCTGATGCTTCCAGATCTCTATAAGAACTGAGTGCTCCATAGAAGTTGACTAGACTGAACTTTTCTAAAATTCAAAATGTATTCTGCCGGGCTTCCCTGGTGGCACAGTGGTTGAGAGTCCACCTGCCGATGCAGGGGACATAGGTTCGTGCCCCGGTCCGGGAAGATCCCACGTGCCGCGGAGCGGCTGGGCCCGTGAGCCATGGCTGCCGAGCCTGCGCGTCTGGAGCCTGTGCTCCGCAACAGGAGAGGCCACAACAGTGAGAGGTCCGCGTATCGCAAAAAAACAAAAAACAAAGAAACAAACAAACAAAAAAAACCCATAATGTATTCTGCCAACTTCAGATTTCTTGAATTTTTATTAGAGAAAAAATGAAACATTTAACTTGTGGACAATTATTCTCAAATTCTCAACAGTGTTATTTAGCTCACTGAGCTGCTCTGATGGCTATTTCTGGCTCATTTGAAATAGGCTTCTTGCTCATATACTTTGAGTTTTTCTTCAAAATCATGCTAGCAGTTTAAAGAAAGCTAGTGGCTCTAACCATTATTCTGAAAAAAACTATGATATGTCTCTAAGAATAGAGGGCTGGTTTTTATATTCTGATCTCTCAAATTCATAGATCTGCCTTTGCGGAGATATTCAAATTAAATTTTAATAAGGAAGTTAAAATATAACATAATTATGCGTTAAGGGAGCACTCGCACAGGCATTTTTCATTATTGTTCTTTTATTTATTTATTTTTGTTGTGTTGGGTCTTCGTTTCTGTGCGAGGGCTTTCTCTAGTTGTGGCAAGCGCGGGCCACTCTTCATCGCGGTGCGCAGGCCTCTCACTACCGCGGCCTTTCTTGTGGTGGAGCACAGGCTCCAGATGCGCACGCTCAGTAGTTGTGGCTCACGGGCCTAGTTGCTCCGCGGCATGTGGGATCCTCCCAGACCAGGGCTTGAACCCGTGTCCCTTGTATTAGCAGGCAGATCCCCAACCACTGCGCCACCAGGGAAGCCCTGATTATTGTTCTTTTAAAAGCAACCTTAGGAAAATAAAGAATAATAGCCTGCACCCACTAGGAGTTCCAGTTGCTCTCATGCTTTACATAGATTATCATCTCATATAATTCTCACAACAACTTTATGAGATGAAACTGAGGCACACGCAGGCTAAATAACTTGTTCAACGTCACAAGCTGGCCCAGCTCATAAAACAAGCACGTCCTGGGGGTGTAATGTACAGCATGGTGACTATAATTAATAATACTGTATTACATACTTGAAAGTTGCTTAGAGAGTAGATCTTGAAAGTTCTCATTACAAGAACGAAAAAAAATTGGTAACTATGTGTGGTGATGAATGTTAACGAAACTTATTGCGGTGATTATTTTGCAATACATATGAATATCAAATTATTATGTTATACACCTGAAACTAATATAATGTTACATGTCAATAATATCTCAAAAGAAAAAAAAGGTCACAAAGCAAGGAACCTAGGTAGTCTGGTTCTAGAGTCTGGCCTCTTAACCACTATGATATCATCTCTTGCTTCAAACACAAGAGAAACAGAAAACATCAGGAATAAGCCAACTTGCCACAAACAGATGCTTCCCCAAACTGTCATCTGAAAATTAAATTCCTAAGCCACACCTATAGTTAATTTCTCTATGCAAAATCACCTAGACCCAAAGGACTTCAAGTTTGAACATTATTCACTAGACTGTAAATTCTGCATTTAAAAACTCATTAAGGAAAAATTATGCTAGATAAGATGGAATAACTTTTTAAGAACAATTCTGAATGTAATGAAAACAAATAAATCACAATACGCTGATTGTAGTTGTTCAAATGTAAACACCAAGTGGTCAGAAGCGTTCCTATTTCTAGAACACACCCAAAGCTTATATTCGCTATACTTCATTTCCTCTTCTACCAAATGCAAACTAAGATGAAAGTAACCGGTTTGAACCATAAAGTCCTTTGTCAATAGCCCATTTGCGACTTTCTGTTTCATTGCATCAGACTTAAAGAGTCCTTTACATTTTAGACCTTTAAAATATCAGCCCTATGAAATGAAAATGGCCCCAGGCTTACACAATTACTCATTACACTTTATGTTAAACGGATCAATTTTCTTTCAAATGAACCAGAAGTTATGCATTTTTACCTACAAACATGTTATCAATAGAGGGCAGTGGGCCCCAAATTGCTTAGTTTTCATACTGTGGTTTAATTTACCCATATAATGACTTTTTGTTTGTGTTCTTGAAGAATCTGCACACATGCATAGCAACCTTCAAAACCTCATTCAATAATTGCTTTTTCTTGCCTTTGAAAACATTTGGTTTTGATTTTACAGCACTGCTCTATACCATATCCATGCATTGACTACATATGGAAACTTTACGGCATTAGTGATTTCGGCACATTTCTTCCAAACACGTTTAACCTTACTATATTACAAGTCCACTTCCTCACAAAGCAGATGTTTCACGTGCTAACCTTTCCTAGAGACAACTGTTCGCACTTAAGAAATGGAATCACCATCCTGAGGACATAAAGCACCATGGGGGAAAGCCCCAGCTATTCTGAGTAAATGTCATTCAGACAAGGGTTTCTCCTAAATAGCACACAACTGCTGAGGCTATTTCTGCTTCCTGCTGTCTGTTCTAAGATGTTGCGTAACTATGGGCACCACGTGGGAAACAAAAGTTTCATGTATAATACAAAACCCAGACAATGGTTGTAATATTAAGGAAAACATCTAATAAAGCAGGAAAACTGGAGAAGTAAAGGAAATTAAAAATGACCTATAAATTTTATCGCTATATTTTTTGGCGAATTCCCTTCATGGTGAGTCTGGGTTCCAGGTACATATTCTAATTAAGTTTAAATTTGAATAAAGAACCTGCACATGCTTTTCTGGGCATTGGAAGAATTTTCCAAAGGACCACTCTTTTTACTATAATATGTTCCTCTGCGTACCATGTAGTACTTGTCTTTCATCTGCCTGATCTTGATTTTGTAACTCTTTAGACCATACAGCATAATTGTAAACGCAATCCACTTCTGTAACTGCTGGGTGACAGCAGGCAGTCGTTTTCCAGTGACTGACCAGGGAACAGTTTTCCTCAAGGCCCTACTGCTGTATCAGCTGCATAGGTTAGGCCCGCAGTTGCTACCCATGGCACTGCTCTATAAAAAAGTGTATCCGCAGCACTTCTCAGTAGGTTAAGTCTCAAATAGTACAGGTATGTAAGACTCAGAAGCACAGAATGAATGGATTGCGTTTGTGGGTAAACTGTGGATCTGAGTAAGTGGGCGGGCTGCTTGGCACCCTGATCCAGGCTGTTCCTGCCATGATGGATTTTCATGAGGATCCAATGGGAAGTCCCTCAAATACCCTCATAGATGCTCAGCCACCTTAGTATTGGGTTTATTCTGGGAAAAGATCAGAAATAACTGTTAAAACAAATGAAGTGTCTTACAGGGCTAACTTATGCTCTAGTGACATTATATGGGGGCCTGTTTTAAATGGGCCATTTGTATTACAATAAGGCCCTCCACAGTAAATTTTCCTCTCAGCTTACAAAGACTTTTTTCTTTTGCCCTTTGCTGCCTTTCTGGAAACACTCTTCTCTTTCACCCCTGCCTTTCTGAGCAGAGAGCCAGGCTTTAGAGAGTATGAGTACCTTGGACTTGAGGCCTCCTTTTCCTGACCAACCACCCAATCCTTAACCCCCGATAGCTTGGCTTTTGCTCTCGTGACTCTTCTGAAACTGCCAAAGTCAACTAACTCTCTTGGTTTTCATCTTCTTGGACCTGAGCAATATTTAACACTTTAGCTACTGCTTGCTTCCTAAAAAAAATCTCTTCTTCCTCGGTTTCTTTCTTTCTGTTTCCTTTAATATCTCTCCCTTATTCCTCTTGGCCTTTAAAGGTACCCATTTCTAAATGTCATTAATCATAACATTTCTAGTGGCATCAACTATCAATTTAGTGGGAGGAGTGATTGAAGCTTATGGAATTTCACAGAGGAAAACAGTACAGAACTCTTTCTTTCTTGTGAAGTAATAAACTCATTCAACAATTAACATTACATAGTAAGAAGGCAGACATTCTGGGAATAAAATAATAGCAGACATGGATATTACCCTCAAGGAACTTAGAGCCTAATTCAGAAAATCAGACAGGTGCACAAATACCTACAAAATCAGGTCAACAGAAGGATACAGATAAAATGTTTTGTGAATTCAATGAAGGAAGCGAGTACTTCCAGCTGGGGTAGGAAAGGGACTCAGAAAAGGCTAATTTTAGGAAGAAGTTATATTTTTATGTGTATATACTGAAAAGAATAAATTCAGGTTTTTAAAAATACCAATCTATTAACAGAGACAAATATATATGAACCTTTCAAAATATAAAACTTCTGGTCACTTAAGAAGACCCTATTATTTCTAGAAAAATGGAAATTCATTTTCTTCATATGCCATATTTACTTGTAAAACCTCTTTCCTTCATCTTTTTTCCATAATTTTTTTGCAAAATTGGGTAAATAAAATGTAGTATATGCATACAACGGAATATCGTTCAGTCTTACATAGGAAGGAAATTCTGACACATGTTACAACATGGATGAAGCTTGAGGACATTATGCTAAGTGAAATCAGCCAGTCACAAAAGGACAAATACTGTACTCTTCCACAGAGTACAGTATTTGTACTGTACATATTAGAGTAATGAAATTCATAGAGACAGCGTAGAATAGTGGTTGCCAGAAGCTGGGGGTGGGGGGAAGAAATGAGGAGGTACTATTTAATGGGTATAGAGGTTCAGTTTGAAAAGTAGAAAAAGGTTCTGGAGATGAATGGTGTGATGGCTGTATAATAATGTGAATGTACTTAATGCCACAGAATTGTATACTTTAAAATGGTTAAAATGGTAAATTTTATGCTATGTCTATTTTATTATAATTTTAAAAATATTTTTTAAATGTGGAAGGAGTTTCTAATTAAAATTTATGTAGTAATTTTACTCCAAAGAAAGGGTGACTCTCCTGAGATAGGCTTCAGGGTTATTAGCATCTGAGCTTCTTTAGCAAATGAATTTCAAAGATCACTAAGAATTTCTTAAATAATATTATATCTGGAACCACAATGTACACAATGTACAAGGACAGCTGATGAGACAATTCTTTTTTCAGAACCTCTTGTCCATTTAAAATTTTGCTTTTCTACTATAAAACTAAAATTAAAATTTTCCACATAAAAGAATACCTCCATCTTAACATGACAGCAAAATGTTTAGAAACACAGACAACCCAGCTGAAATAAACGGCCATGAATTTAAGTCATGGTAGTTGGCTGAACAGTTTTTCTCTTAATAAGTAGGACACTGAGAAGCCAATCCATTACAGGAAAGATTCAAAATAATTATGCAAATGTAAATGATTAAACCCAAATAGCATTTAAAGGCTAAATGTCAACCTTGGGATTAAAACCACTTTTGGAGGTATAGGATTCCTCAAGCAGCCAACTCAGAGAAATTTAGTTTTCCTTCACAAAAATATGAACGAGGAAGGTGAAAACAGCCGCAAAATGTAAAGAAAATACTAAAAGGGGAAAAGCACATACTTATTTAATAAGAAAATCCAAACTACTTTACCTTTTTGGTAACTTGAAAGGTCTGGATGGGCTGGAAAAAAAGCAAAGAAAAAACAATCAGAAACAGGCATTGTAATATAAACACATGCTTTATATATGTATTTAACATTTTACTTGTTATCTCTCTTTACAAAAAAATCCTGGAAGGCTTAAAAAGGTCTCCAATCCAGGCTGCTTCTTACTTATCAAGGATCCCCCAACATCTTTTTTTTTTAAATAGGACATCAATACCTTCTTCAACTAGAAATATTGTATTCCTTCTTCAGCTACAAATCACTACTCATGTTTCACCATTCTGGAATACAGTGGTTCTCACAGTGTGGGATGAAGATCCCTGGGAGTTCCTGAGATCCTTCACAGAGTTTGTGAGGGTCTCCCTTTTCTAACCCCCATACCTGTTTAAAGCTGGGTTTTCTCCATAATTTTGTATATTTCAACCGAACAGCAGACTGCAGGATATTGCAGAAGCAGATATGAGAATCCTGCTGTCTTCTCTGAAGCCACACATCAAAGAGACTTGCAAAAATGTGAAATGATACTAATCATCTCACTAAACTTTTTTTTTGTTTTGGAAATGATATTGTTTTTCATGAAAAATATTATTTATGTTAACACATAAAGGGTTTACTGTCATTATTTCAAATAAGTTAAATTACAAATTTTAAATTTGTTTCAATTCCAATATGGCACATATCAGATACAACCCACATAAACAAAATAGCTTTGGATCCTTAATAATTTTTGAAAGTGTAAAGGGGTCGTGAGATCAAAAAGTCTGATCACCATTACACTAATACTGAGAGTATACTTAAATATTTGCTGAATAAATGAATAAATTTCCTATCTGTGTACTCTCTCCTAACCTGAAATCTTCCACCAGGCTGTCCCATACTTTGAGGAAATAAAACAAAATGAAAAATCTATCTTCTAGTCTTTCTACTTCAAGTTATTACTCTTCCAGTAGTTAGAGCCCTATTTTAGAATTTCTTTGAGATCTAAAGTTTCCTTTCATATTTTCCCTCTCCATTACATGTCTCACTAATATACATGTATTCATTCTTAAAAAAAATTATTTAACTCCTGTTATAGCCATGAATGAGACCAACAGGGTCCCAAACTTCATGGAACTTACATTCTAGAACGCACTTTGCATTAATCTGTTTACATGAAAGATGCATATGTTCTAAATTTCATGCTTTATGTACATGTCCTCGTTAATGAGTTTAAGCCCCTTAAAAATACTAAACTCAAGGAGATGGAACAACTCCAGAGGTTGCAAGCACTGGGAACAATGTTAGAGAAGAGACACATTCCAATTTCATCCCGGTCCTATTTGTAGAGATGGGCCTCAGTTTGCCTTTGATCATTCAGGGTCGTAGGAGCAGAGCTGTAGAGAGAACTCATGTTTCTTGATTCCTAATTTGCTGTTCTCAGTCCTGTGTGTGTCGGTCTTTAATACCGGGGGGGAAATGACATAGGGATAATCATAAAATACTCATCTGTCATACAGGAAAGGAAGTATTATTTCTTTTGGGAGATGTGGAATTTAAAGTCAGAGTTTCCAGTAAGAAGAGCATAAGAGAACTTGTTGCTTTACGAGCAAGTATGAGACCGAATATTCACAGCATTACTAAAGAAATCCCCCTAAAGTGCATTCTTCTTATATATGTACAATAAAGAGAATTCACTTTTAAAAGCTAAAAACTGACATTAAATCATACCCAGCGACCACATCTTATTTGTGTTTACATCTCCATAACCTAGTAGAATGTATGGTCCTTTGTGGATGTCAGATCAGAGTTTGCTGATTAATGAATGAGCATCTTTTATTACTTTTCTCAGGTTCAACAGCTTTGAAGTCAGTAGTCAATGGATAGCAAGAAAATGAGGACATAAATATCAACATAGGAAAATTTAGTTTTATTTTCTATTTGTTTATCTCTCTTTCTATTAAACACACACACACACACACGCACTTTGTAACTTCAGCCCATTCCTATCTGCCAGTCCTAAGCTCCTTTACCACTTTACTACATTTTCTAAATTTTCGTTTGTGCCTCTGAATCCTATAATAGAGGCCCTCTTATTCCTCAGTGCTGCAGGAATCATTAATTTATAGCTAATCAGAAAGGTTAAAGTAAAAAATTCTAAAAAAAGTGCCATATACATTCCTTAAATATCTAATTGTAACTTAAATTTAAATGTATACTCAGCTGCCAATCTTTTCTTACTTACCATACTGCATTGTCTATGATTTCCAGTTTTGGAGGACTTCAGATACTTTTGAATAGCCTGAGTTCACTAATTACAATATATAATCTAAGTTTTGGTGATTTCCCCCCCAAATCTTTTACAGTTGTTTCTCTCATGCCTAATTCAATATCAGTTTTGTGGATGTGGTCGAGCCAGGCCATCTGAGTGCAGAGGGAAAGACCACACCTACAACCCCAGGAGCTGGTGAAGCACTTGAAAACTTGCTCTACACAAACGGGGCTTTCAATAAAAATGTCTGCTACTGAAGAACTCATGAAGAGCACTCGTTTTGGGGGGTAAATCTACCAAGGGAAACACCCCACTATCTTCTCAAATATAATTATATATTGATTCTTTAAATATACGTTTTATTGAGATATAATTCACATACCATATAATTCATCCATTTAAACTGTACGAGTTAATGGGTTTTAGTACTTCCACAGAGTTGTGTGTCCATCACTACAACCACACACTGCTTTTTAAAGAACATGCTATCTGAACACCAACGATGAAGCTATTAATGAGCTTTGCGAGAACATTTATTTTTTACAGAGAGGGAGAGTAAGACACTGACCAAAGAAGCCAATCACTTAACTTGTACACAAAGTCTTAATTTTTCACTCCCAGTTTTCAAGTTACACATCCTCAAAACTATCTCTTGAATTTCCACAAGAAGTTAACAGATTTTGTTGTCTTTAGACCCAAGGTGATCCCCAGAGCCATAGCTCTGGGGTAAATCATACCAAGCAGTTGCAAAAAAATATTTTATTATATACATTTTGGGTTGTAACAAATGTAAATATTCTTTTTCCTCCTACTCACCCCCATTAACTTTTTTTTTTAACTGAGAAATTCATGGATCTATGACTAGTTTGCTCCCAAGAGACAGAAACAAGTACATATTCATCACATTCTTTCTGCTTGAGTAAAGACCTCATTTTATGTTAAATTGGAGACAATAAGTAGAAATTGTTGACATCAGTTGAAAAAGAAAAACTAAGGTTACCACAAAGATACCTCCTGGGAAAACATAAGTTCCCTTTGAAGTTTTTATACTAATGGACATGACAAACAGATGTTTGAAACACCAAAACCACAACTGCAGGTAAAACATGAAACCTGTTCGATTTATTGTTTACGGTGTTGCCATCTTTTTTTCTTTTTTTGTGGTACGCGGGCCTCTCACTGCTGTGGCCTCTCCCGTTGCAGAGCACAAGCTCCGGACACGCAAGATCAGCGACCATGGCCCACGGGCCCAGCCACTTCGCGACATGTGGGATTTTAACAGACCGGGGCACGAACCCGCATCCCCTGCATCAACAGGCGGACGCTCAACCACTGCGCCACCAGGGAAGTCCATGATGTTACCATCTTGAATTCTGCCCTACAATCTCTTACCAGAACATACTTGTTTAAGGAGGCAAACAAGGGAATCCACCACATACTTTCATGATCAAAAATAGTCTTCCTCGGGCTTCCCTGGTGGCGCAGTGGTTGGGGGTCCGCCTGCCGATGCGGGGGTGCGCGCGTTCGTGCCCTGGTCCGGGAGAATGCCGCGGGGCGGCTGGGCCCGTGGGCTGTGACTCCTGGGCCTGCGCGTCTGGAGCCTGTGCTCCGCGGCGGTGAGAGGCCCGGGGGCCGCAGGCCAAAAAAAAAAAAAAAACAAAAAAAAAAAAAAAAATAGCCTTCCTCCATCTGTACCCTCTTTCCGATTTGCTACTTTTAATAGCTATCTAATAAAATCTGCAGAATGATTTTTTCCCCCTAACTTCAGCCTTGTGTTGCTAAATAACAACTGGTAAAAACAAACAAGAGAGAAACCATGTTTTTCGAAGGTTCATTCACCTTTTTAATACTGTCTGGTCAAAACTCATGCCAAAAAAAAAAAAACCAAATAAAAAATAATCATCTTAGTTGGGAACATCTGCTTGTTCTTTGGTTAGGGTTGTAGCCCTTTTTTCTGCTGAGAAAAAGCCCCAAGGCAGATGACATTTGCATGCCCCATGACACTCCCACAGGCTGTAGCGTAAATAAGCTTGCTTGTGCACAATCCCCAGATGACTAGCTGGAGTGTCTCTCTCCCACGCAAGAGAGCATTTCTGTATGCGAGTGGATGACACTGACATGATTGTAGGGCTAAGCTCAACTCTGCTTTCAAAAAAATAAATAAGGCACTTATAACTCAGTACTCATAATAAGTAATTAATTGCCCCTGGCACCTCACACTTGAGAACTGTAACAGCAGTTGAGAACCTTGGCTCCAGCTCCGATGACCAGTGAACTGTGGTATGTGCACATATATCGGTCAAGGGACCAACTAAAGACACTGTAAAGTTCTCAGAAGGAGGGAAGGTGCGGGGTGCAGAGTGGGGTAATCATGAAAATGGGGGTTGGGGGATGCACAGAGGCAAGGAAGATTTTTTTAAAAGGTAATTTGTATGTGAGGGAAAAAGTTAACAAGAAACAGAAAAAAAAGTAGAAAAGCTACAAAGGGCCTGTTTTTTCGGTTTCCCTCAACTTTTCTCTCTCTTTTGATAATTTTTGGGAAGACAGAGGGAAATGGGACCACTGAAACATGAAAACATGCTACCCGTCTAGAGAACTCAATTGTTGACATAGCTGCAGAATTAATATCACGACTTAGAAAGGGGCAGTATCAAGTTTCACAAATTCCAAATAGCTCTTCCTAGCATTCAGGAAAATCAAAGCTACGAAGAAAAGAGCTTTGTATGTTTCTGAACAACTAAAATGCTATGAAGGACATATATTTTCTAC